CTGAAAAAAAATATTTTTAGGCATAAAAATTTAAATTTATATAATCCAAGTACATAAAATTATTACCTACATGGTAAATAAATGGGAAATTTTGTTTGTTTATGTTTTCTTTTTTGTAAATCAACATTCTCATTATCACATTTTTTTTAGCTGTAAATTCAAAATGTTCACAATACTGTTTGCTTTCGGTGGAATTGAAATAGTTATACGAACAGTTATATATTTTGTATCAACAAAATAACTCTTCTTACCACATTATTTAACAAATAATTGTAATATATAGATGTTATACCTTGAAGAGAATTTAGCTTGTATTTGTAGAAACTTAAGCTAATTCTTTTCTGCATTTTAGTGCAGTCAATGGTTTGGTACCTGTAAACCAAAAAACAGTTTTATCACTAATCTAATTAGATGGAAATACTTCTTCTTGTAAATCTTCATTCCACACAGCTCCTTTCCACAAATTTGATTTTGAAAATATTACATGAACTAATAATAAAATGAAGAAACCATAATATAAGTGTACCAACAGGCCTACATAAACTAGCTAAGTATGAACATTTTATAAACATGATACTTGCTAAACAATAATATTAGTGGACATTTTTAGCAAAGATAAGATTTTATTTATTTTATAAATTTATTATATTTTAAATTCATTTTTATTAATATATTTATTACTCTATTATTCAGCAGAGTTCTTAATATATTATGTTCAGATAACTCAAGGCTCAATAACGAAGGAAAATAATAAAAGAATCCCAGGTTGCTAAAGCATAAACATCTACATAAGATAAATATGGAATGTTGAACAAAAGTAGAAATACAAAAATACAAAAATATTCATTATTAACATAAAATATAATAGTATAATTTAAGGTATATTATTAAATATGGCACAATATTATTTATGTTTGATTGAAATATAAAAGCAACAAAAACTAAAAAAGAAAATATTTTAATAAATATTAAATCCTAATTCAAACAATTTTAAAGACCAAAAAATATCTTTTAACTTATATTTTACTCACCTTTATCTAATAAACATTAATATGAATACCAATTTTTAACATTATTTGATTTTTTTTTATTAAAAAATAAAAATTTTATATCAGTTAATTTTTGGGTTTTTCTAATTTTATTAAAAAAGTCAACTCAATCCTAAGCTTTTTTCATAATTGAGTTTTAATTTGTAATGCTGAATTATCACAAAAAACAAAATACTAGCAGACAAAAAGAAATCATTTCCTCATTGAAATATATGTGAATATTTCAATAAAGAAATTTTAGATTGATTGTTATAATTATAAATTTGTATCAATCAATCTAAATTTTTTTCTTTTCCGCCACCTTTTCGAAATGGAGCGTATTTTAAGAAGTTAGACAAAATGCCATTAATTAAAGTTTCAGTCGCTCCATGGTATTAAATAGAAGAAGCTGTAAATAAAAATGACTTAAAAAAAAACACAAGTAAAAAATTTTTGAATATATATAAAATGAGAAAAAAAAAAGATTTGCATATCTTATAAAGGTATACCTTTCACTACACCATATAAATTAGTACTCTTAAAGCATATTTTCACTTTTGCCCTTTATATTCATGAAGGTCACAAAATTGTTGAAAAAATTTTCTAAGTTTTAAAAGATAAGAGAACTAATATTAATTATGTGAGAACTAATATAATTTTTTTTTTTTAGTTATTTAATTTGAACTCATTATCAAACAATTTTTTTGCTAAATAATTTAATCCTTAAAACTCCTGAATAAATAAATAATTATTTTGATTACCTCAGCATTATTTTGTGAATTTTGTCTTTTAAAGATATTCTATCAATTGCAATTGATTCACGTTTGAAAAACAACGTTTAAAGCTATTATTAGTGTTTAAAATTATTATCAATCTTATTATCAAACTCATTATCCAATAGATATATTTTAGATAATTAAAAAAAAATGCTATTTGTTTTTATGTTGTCTTGGTCATGACATGAAATTGATCCTATATTAGGACAAGCATAATTTTGACACAGCTTAGAGAAGAAAAGCTTGGATATAAAACTTTCAGTTTCATCATAGGAGGAGCGTGTAAACCTTGTATGGTGATCTTCTAGTAGTATAACAAAAAATAAAATCAGTCCTGATCTGAGTAATAGGTTAACACCAGTAATGACATGTAGTTGTAAAAAATTGCATAACCTCGCTCATAATGTATTACAATCATATTAATGAAAATAAAACTGTGTACATTAAACATTAGTTGCTCTTGCAACCATTGAAACTATACAACCAAATAAGAAGTCATTGTTTTAATATATACAGTTATAGGTTTTTATAAACTTTGACATAAAATTGTACACATAATATTTAAAATAGTTCTTAAACTAAAGGGTATAACTATTTAATAAAATAATTATTTAATCACCCATGATGATTGTGTTTTTTCGTTTACTAATGCCTTGTCTACCTCATCAAATTCAGCTACTGATGAAACTAGCTTTATTTGGCTTAAAAATTTACTATTATAACAGGCTTGATCACTGTGCTTTAGCTTCGTAGCTCATTTCTTATATCAGTAAGTAAATATAACACTCCGTTTGAAATTCTATAAATCAAAATAGTTTCACAAAACAACTTTTGTTGAATATTTCTGCAAACTTCATAAATTTAATAAACTAAAAAAAAATAGTAACATACTGCCTTCAGCCATTGGGAACTTATAAATGGTACTTTGTTTCTTTTTTTCTTATCCTCACTGTATACTGTATTTTTGGAATATTTTTTTTAATGAATTGAACTAAAAACTCAAAATTAAAAAAAAAATTCTCAACTTTCATTATAAAAAAAAATTTCAAACTTAAAAATTTCAAAAATAAATTTTGTTAATGATTTTTCTAATAATTTTTTGTCAATAAAATAATGCTTTAGTAAATAAATTTATGACCTAAATCTTCAGAAGACAAAGAACAAATGTCCTCTTGAACAGACTTTTGACTAGGTAATCTTATCTTCTAGCCATACACATCAATTTTTGGCTCTAATTTTTGAAATTAAAAAATTGAAAAAAATTTAAAAAAAATAAAAATTAAAACTAAAAGTAAATTATTATTAATTTTAACCATAAATATTTATATAAAGGACACAATATATTTATATAATACTTTAAAGTCGTCAAAAAGTTACTAACCTTGTTTCTGTTTTATGATAACTCCTTTATGTTTTTTTTTTTTTTTTTTGATACCCTTAGATAAGATTGATGATACCTCTAGATAAGATTGATGAACTGCTAGACATAAAGTGCATTGATACTTCGACTAGATCTTTGATATTGGAACCTGTAAAAAATCATTACTATTTTGTAGTAAAAGTTAAAATAACTCACTTATTTTTAAACAAAAAATCTAACTTTTACTAAATCATAACTCAAGCATGTTAAATAATTTCCTACTTGGAAAATAATCTAAAAATTCTTTTTGTTTATGTTTTTTTTTTTTTGAGAAAATCAGCATTCTCATTTTTTCTTTTTTCCACAACCGTTGTGAACTTAAAGTTTTCACATTATTATTTGTTTTTTATGGAGATGAAATAGTTATAAAAAAATCTTCTTGTTAGCTTATTGTTTAGATTTAAAAAATAATTAAGAAATAGATGTTATACCTGAACAGAACTTAACTTTTATTAGCGGAAACTTCAGCCAATTTTTCACAGGATTTTGACGACACTTTATTGCATTCAAAGGTTTGGTGCCTGGTGGCCAGTAAACAGTTTTGCTATCTACCCAATTAAATGGGATTACACTTTCCTCTTCTTGTAAATCTTCTTTCCAAACAGCTTTTTTTCACATATATAATCTTAACAAATAATAAAAAAAGGAAACCATTATATGAAAACTATTTGAAAACATTATATTATAGTGAAAAAAACATTATATTATATATGAAAACTATTTGAAAACATTATATTATAGTACCTGGACTACTGTTAAAAGGAAAACTAGACTTTTAACAACTCTTGTTGAATAATGATTTACAACTCTTGTTAAATAATGATTTTAGATGCTATTAGTAGTAATGAGATTCCTTTTTTTTCTTAATAAATAGTCTTTTTTTATAATTATTATTATGCAGAATTCTCTCTTTAAAATTTATAACTAAATAGCAAGAGTGCTTGTTTTGGTTTTAAAAAAATAAATACCAATCAATTCAAAAACTGTTAAAGCAATTGTACTTATTTTAATTTCAGTATTAGATATATTAGAACACAAGGTTTAGAACAAAAGAGAAAACTCTATACATTAAGAATAGAATTGCTATAATTCCATGTTGCTGAAACATATATTTTAAAAATAAAAGACAAATTACTTCAACATAAATAAATAATATTCATCAGAAAAACAATAGCAAAGTATATTACAAGATATCACACAATCTGAATGTTTTCTGATTACAAAAGAATATTTGCTTAAAAAGAAACATTTTACCTTTTTTTAATTTAATGTCTAATGGTAATACTATTACTTTGGTCTTGAAAATAGTATACTAAATGCTGTTTCTGCATCAAACAAAGATTATTTAGTTTTAATAAATGAAACATTACTTATTGATGTAAATATTGATGGATTACCTTTATTTAGGCCTAAATTAATACTACTACCTTGGTGGTCAATACTAACACAGCAAACATGTCAGCGTTGAAGTAACGTTTAAAACCGGTCGCAAAAGATGTTGTGGAAACGTTGACAAAGTAATCGATTTTGCAAAGATATGTAACGTTGTTAAAGAGTCGTTGATTAAACGTTGTAGCGTAACGTTGAAAAAACGTTACTTAAAGACATTACAATAATATTGCAACTTAACGTTGAAAAAGCGTTACTTAAAAAGCGTTGCATAGGCGTCGCAACTTAACGTTGAAAAAAAATTTCTTGAAAAGCGTTACTTTAACGTCGTTAAAGCAGTTGATTTTGCAAGGATTTGTAACGTTAGTAGTAAAACGTCGATTTAACGTGACTCAAAGACGTTAAGTAAAGGTTGAAATATAACGTTACATCAACGCTTAAATGCGCTGGAGAAAATATTGCAAAATACTATTAAACATAATTAAACTTGGCTATAATGTATATTGAATTATCAAATAAAACTAAATTGTATGTTGAACTCTGCACTTCCAATAGTTCTAAAGTGTATTTTTAATACAAACAGTAACGTACAATGAAAAATATAAAAAATATACAATTTATTTATACAAAATATACAATTTATAGATAAAAATATAAACATCCTTTTTAAGATTTATGTGTGTGAGTGGATTTACAGGATATATGTGTGTGAGTAAAATTTATGTGTGTGAGTGGATATATAGGATATCGTATCCATAAGCCAGGATATCATTGTGATACAGAATCTAAATCAAAAAATAAATTTGCTTCATTATCAGTTCGAAAGCAAATGTTTAAAAATTTTTATTGAATTAGTATTATCATTATTAAATTTAAAAAGTAAAAATAAATATATATAAATAATTTATATATATGTATATATATATATATATATATATATATATATATATATATATATATATATATACATATATATATATATATATATATATATATATATATATATATAGATATATATATATATATATATATATATAGTCTTGTATATATATATAGTCTTGTATATATATATATACATACATACATACATAAATATATATATATATATATATATATATAAATATATATATATATATATATATATATATATATATATATATATATATATATATATATATATATATATATATAGATATATATATATATATAGATATATAGATATATATATATATAGATATATATATATATATATATATATATATATATATATATATATAGATATATATATATATATATATATATATATATAAATATATATATACATATATATATATATATATATATATATATATATATATATATATATATATATATACATATATATATATATATATATATATATATATATATATATATATATATATATATGTGTGTGTGTGTGTGTTATGCAGTCCGGTTTGTGACCGGACTGCATAAACATTTATATATCCTAAAGTATATTTTTAAAAATTAAAATTTATGCTATTTTTTGCATATATATGCATATAAAAGCATCATTGTGATCAACATGATCATCATAATCATCATTACCATCATCATCATCATCATCATCATCATCATCATAATCATCATGATCATCATTATCATCATTATCATCAACTGCATGTAAACTGAAAGCTTGACAATGATAATGAAAATAATGTTGATGATGATGATGATGATCAAGATAATCATCATCATCTTTATGATGGCACTACGAAAGGCACAATCTTCAAGTTTTTTATACTTCTACCACAACTATTTTATACTGAGCTGCTACCACTCTACATGTTAATACCTAAAATACTTTAACTTTTTCTAAAAAAAAGGTTGCTTGATATAACGTTTTTTCTAATCAGTCTAAGATTATGCCTCCTTTTTATATCTTTTAGAGTCACACCACAAATCCATCTTAGCATCTTCTCTTTCGGCAAAACTACACCATATAAATACTAAAGTTTATACAACAATGAAAAGATATTGTATGCCAGCATCTAAACAAATAGCAAACAGATATGCTTATATCCATAATATGTGTGCAAAAAGTGAATCTTGGAAGCTTATATTGCTTCTAGAATAAAAAGTTTGGAAGCTATTATTACTTCTCTTCAGTTTTAAATCAAGCCTCATTCTACTCTATATCTTGCAACATTAATCACATTTTTCATCTTTTTTATAAGAACACCTCTCTTAAGAACAAATTGTTTTTTTTGTTATTGCAATAAACTAATGTATAAAAAAAGTAAATCTCTGTAAATCTCTGTTATTCTCAGTTTACTAAACCTTGTATCTTATCTTAGATGTTAGGTTCTAGAGACTTTTCTTTAGTTTTCAACAGTGTTATTAACTAAGTAATTCAGACTGTTAATCTCTAATTCATGGGGTCTCATCTTTTTAGTTTACCCCAGAGTAAAGCAATGCTATTTACAATGAAGTCTTACTCTAGTTTGACTCTTGAATATAACAGCCGTATTCTTCCTGACAGTTAAACAGATTAATCCATTGTTAAACATTAAAATTACTCTGGCTTCCAATACTAAAACTAATTCTCAATTAAACACTTCTACATTTTGTCCTTCAGACAAGATTTCCCTCATAGTCTTAAAAAAGTGTTTTCTAGAACTAATTTTTGTTAAACTTTAAAAAAGTGCTAAATACTTGGTTCCAATTTTTCAAAACTGTAGAAAACACTGTAAAACTGTAGAAAACACTGTAGAAAACAACTGTAGAAAACACCTCTCCATGTATCCTACAATGGCTCTCCACTCTGTTAACAATTTCTTTTAATTTTCTATGTAAAGGTTTTGAGGTTAATAAATTACTTTATTCTAACTGCAGTAGTAGAGTTATTCTTGAAGGCCTACCCTCTTTATTTCAAGTAACTTTAAGGTTATATATTTGCTCCTTTAATATTTTTTATCTACATTAACAATCATAATGAAATCTAAAGTGGTTCTATTTGCAGATGACTCCACTTTATACTCTTGTCTTGACAATAAATCTTCACTTTTTAATTGCTCAAAACATGCAGCCATTTTTAAATCTGATCTCTCTTCTATTATAACCTAAGGCTTGCTGTGCCTTATGGATTTAAATTCTGGACTTAAAATCCACAATTTTTGTTAGACAACAAAATTCATTTGTTTACTGCAAAAAAAATATTGCAATATTGTTGGCATTCCTATATTGACAAATAACAACCCTCTTACTCTCAGACAAAGTCTAAAAGCACATCGTAAATGTAATTAGACCTGCTTTATCTGCCAAGCTTAAGCCACTTAACCATTTTATAATGCTGCATTTCTTTTTTTTTTCTACAAATATAATCATAGTTAATGCTCAAACAAACTAACATATCTATAACGATAAACCAAAACTCCTTCGTGCTTGGCTATTTATTCAACAAGTTCCATTCTTTATCTGTATTTGTCCCTTCATGCAATAAAATCTTTTAACAGCATGATAAATAATTCAATTTTTAGTTAGTAAACTAGATTTTAAAATGTATAAAAGTATGCCAGTATTTAATAAATAATAAGTGTAAGCATAAAATTATAATACATTAAGTATTTTAAATTTTTTTCTAGCCCCGGCTATCAACCTCTGCTAAATCTTATTGCTGAGGCCGGATTTGCAAAAAGTCGCATTTTAGCTGGGGCCGGAGTCCTTGTCACTTACAAATGTTTTTTAAAATTTATTTACATTTTCAAAAAATTATTTTAAAATAATAAAACTCTGAATAATTGTCTGCCAAATGTCTGGAGGTTTCTACAGACATTTGGCAACTAGAATAAATGAGCACCTTAAAAGTCAGGGGCGGATCTAGGGTACGTCTAGTACGTCTGTAGACGTACCCAAAAATAAAAATAAATTTAAAAAAAAAAAGTTTATATATTATTTCAATATTGCTTATAATAATAATTTTTTTAAGTTTAACCGTTAAGTGAATAAAATTTAAGTTTTGTTACCTTTATGCAAACAGTTATTAAAAAAAAAAAAAAATTCGCTTCTTGTTTAGATTAATTAAAATTTGAGCGGTAAATAAAAAAATATTTTTTAACTGGAGGTTAAAGTAATAATAAATAAATAATATTTAATTAGAAGAGTCAATGGACGTACCCAATATTATTTTGTTAAACAATAAAAAATGTTTTTAAATTTTTATTTTTTTTTTTGTTATAAAAGCAAAATATCAATTTCTATACTTAAAACAATTTTTGGACGTACCCAAAGTAGTAAACCCAAAGTAAAACCTTAGTTAAAATCCATTGTTTAGCAATAATCAGGAGGTAAAATATATTTTAATAGTTACTACATATCAAAATAAAACAATGGACGTACCTAACATTATTTTTTTCTGTGATTTAACTTTTCATTTAGTTTAGCTTTCAATATTTAAATTTTAAGTAATCGATTTTATTTATGAAAAAAACACTGTCGGACGTATCTTTCTACTTTCACCCTGAAATATTTAACGTTTGTTGTGATATTTAAAATGCTTCGATTATTTAAGAAGTTTTCTTAATAAATCGTGTTTGCAACATGTCCGTGTTTATGCTGGTGATAAAAATCAAAATCAGCTTAGATATTATCAACAAAAAACGCTTCTTAGATATCTAAGACACCATAATATCTGGTAAAAAAAGTATTTCAGAGAAGTTAATAGCAAAATAGTTTAAACATTTTAAACATTTTTCTGATGAAGCTTCTCACAATAAAAGTAAAGAACAACTACTTTTAATTATATGGTTTGTTGGTTCAAAGTTCAATAAGAGAATTTATCAGTTTCTTAGATTGCACAAATGGTGTTACTAGTACAGAATATTTTATTTTTTGGTAAAAAATATTTCGGATTTCTTTGCATGGAGATCTGATTCAACAATATAAAATTCAGCATGGCCACGATAAAATAAATTGGGTTGCTAACGATTGTGGAAATGCATTGGAGGAGGGTCCATGTCTGCGACAACACAAATTCAAAATGAGGAAGCCTTTTAGCAGAAATACCTTCAGGTATCATTTTTTCTAAAATCGAGTTGTAAATGCGTGGAACAGCTTACCATCTGAAATAATAGAAGCTACTTCAATAAATAACTTCAAAAACAAACTAGACAGAGCTGGATTTTGCAGAAACTATTTGTTAAAACACAAACAAAAGACAAAATGAGCTGTTACAGTGCAATATCTTATGTTATTGCACTTCGCAACTGTTTAAAACAATTGTTACAGTAATACCTTATTATATTATATATATATCATGAATTGTGATATGGTGGTGCTAAAGCAATTGATGGTCACACTAAAGATTTGTCCTCTTGTATTTTAAATCTAAATGAAAAAGCTGCATA